AACAGTTTAAAATATTCTTTTGGTGCATTCACAATGTATTGTTATTCATTAAAAAGCTTACGACTTATTACAAAGTTGCAACCCTTAAAAACCATCCCTTATAATAAAATAAACAAAAAAATATTATTGAATGCTTGAGATGTTTTAATGGTATGCGTATGTTGAATTATAAACTTTTTATTGGTTTTCAAATGATCTATGATATATTGCAACTTTTCAGTCACCCAAAAACCCTTATGGAAGACATACCCCTCATAAAAACCCTACCCTCATAAAAAACCCTACCCCTTATAAAGAAAAATTTCCTAAAAGTTATATGTGAATATGATGATATAATATTTTTTTTATTAAATTAATATCAAATAAAAAAATGTTTATGTACATTATAAATGGATGTATTGTACAAAATGTTTTAAAAATGGTCTGTTATTTTTCACATGTGTATATAATAAAATATTTAATCACTATTATCACTATCTTCAGCCTCGCCTTGGTCCAAGATTGGATAATTTTGTTACAATCATCGCCAGAACATGAACCACTCGTGGGATTGCAAAAAAGTCCAACTTTTCTGCAACCACAAGTTGCGCCGCATCCTTTTTTGCAATTGCAAAATATCATCCTAAGTAGTTCATCTGGTGCAGGTTTTTTTTTTGCATTTTTTATTGGTTGCAATGTGTGTGTATGTATATTATTAAAATTACTCAAATTAGTTCACAAGTGCTCCAAAATACACAAAGATGATGGGAATTTACCCGCTGCGAAAATTTTACCGAAAAAATGCGATTAATTTTTTTACCATAACTTTTGTTAAGTTATAAATTTACTCAAAAAACCATTTTGTAGGGAATTTAAAGCACTTTAAGTTCTGTGATTTGCAGTTTTTTGAGCCCTTCGTTTTTTTAGATTTGTAAGCTAAAAGGGCTCAGGAAAGGCAGTCTTGGAGCTTAGTTTTGAGCTTCTAACGGTCATAACTCAGTCAAATTTTGTAAAAATTAAAAAAAAGCAAATTGTTCAGTAAGAAAAAACCTACAATTTCTTATTCTATCATTTTTTATAACTTTGTTAATTTTTGAAATATTTTGAAAAAAGGTGATTTTTAAAAAATTGAAAAATTTCATTCATAAGTAAATGGAATATTTTTTTAATTTAGGCTTCTAAAATCGTTCAAATTCCCAGAATCTACTGTTAATACATAAATAAAGTTAATGGCAGAAGGAATACGTTTAATTTTTTCCATCAAGTCATTAATTTTAATACTGATTTTTTTTTTCAAAAATCAAGACAGTCGTATTTTGATTGTAACTTCATTAGTTTTCATACTAACAACTTTTACCACCACTCAATTTAAAGGTTTTTTCAAGAACTTTAATAAGTGTTATATGTTTTCCTCGAAAAACCTTTAATTTTTCCGCTACAGGACGTCGAACGTTTCGATTATAGCGTCGTCGTACCTCATCTCCCGTTGCTTCACTTACCATTTGGTTGCGGCTCTCAGGGTTTCTGGACATATTATATGCTTCTCGCGCTGTCGCGCTGGACTCTGCTCGAGATGTACCTATTCTGGTAAGATTGCGCTTAGGCATGGCTAGGTGAGAGGACGCGATCTAATTTTGTAACAACTTGTCTTTCCCTTAGATAGGATGTATGAGAGATTTGACTCTAACAAAGGGAATTTGGATTAGAATGATATGAGATATAGGATCGGTATTGGAAAGATAGGTGAAAAGTGACTTTAAGCGCCAATACGTCCCGCTATCTCTGATATTTGAGCNGTTTTTTGAGCCCTTCGTTTTTTAGATTTGTAAGCTAAAAGGGCTCAGGAAAGGCAGTCTTGGAGCTTAGTTTTGAGCTTCTAACGGTCATAACTCAGTCAAATTATGTCCTATAAAAATTTAAAAAAAAGCAAATTGTTCAGTAAGAAAAAACCTACAATTTCTGTTTCTATCATTTTTTTATAACTGTTAATTTTTGAAATATTTTGAAAAAAGGGGAATTTTTAAAAAATTGAAAAATTTTATTCATAAGTAAATGGAATATTTTTTAAATTTAGGCTCCTAAAATCGTTCAAATTCCCAGAATCTACTGTTAATACATAAATAAAGTAAATTGCAGAAGGAATACGTTTAATTTTTTCCATCAAGTCATTAATTTTAATACTGATTTTTTTTTCAAAAATCAAGACAGTCGTATTTTGATTGTAACTTCATTAGTACATATTATATGCTTCTCGCGCTAGCGCGCTGGACTCTGCTCGAGATGTAGCTAATCTGGTAAGATTGCGCTTAGGCATGGCTAGGTGAGAGGACGCGATCTAATTTTGTAACAACT